TTAAAGCGTTCGGCCATGCTTCTCGTTGAATAGCTTTAATTTTAAATTGGCAATAATTTTAATTTCTGAACGTACTCGAAAGATTTTTAATATGTCTGCATCAGTTTCCGACTTTATACAATAAAGATAACGTTTTGGTTCATTGGAATCCAGCTAAAAGATTCGGGCATAACCTGTGAAGTAGTAGTATTGTTAAACGCGGCAGCCTAACCGGTGTCGTTGTCGTTGTCGTTGTTGCTATCAATGTACATAAACGCGACGAACACACTCAGACAGACAAGACACGAACGTCAAGCAACGCAACACACTCGACGGTCGTTCTTGTTGGCGCACGCGGCGTCCAATGTCTCGTTCAGAGGCAGTCGTCGTGGTTTCTATTCGGCACACGTGCACCACGCGCAGTGGGTCATTGCTCTCCTCCGTTCGAAAGCAATATCGTTGAGACGCACGACACTTGTCCCAGGCATGACCACGACGCAGTCGAATGAAATTTGCCCGTTCGTGGACAGATACCATACCAAACCATATGTTTAAAAACCAACTCGACAATCTTTTAATATGCAAACACGCATACAAACGCACATGTATCTACTATATAATTTATATGTATGCGTATTATATTTTTATATATACATATACACATGTATATGTACACATGTACGCATTTTAAATTATAAAATAATACGGTGCGTTTGTATTTTAATTCCTGTAATGCTCGTTGCTTCTTCGAATTTCTAAAAATGTATGTACTATACAATTTATATATGCGTATTATATTTTTATGTATACATATACACATGTATATGACATTTTAAATTATGAAACGATACGATGCATTTATATTTTAATTCCTGCAATGCTCGTTGCTTCTTCGAATTTCTAAAAATGTACGTGCTATACAATTTGTATATGCGTATTATATTTGTATGTATACATATACACATGTATATGAACACATTTTAAATTATGAAACGATACGATGCATTTATATTTTAATTCCTGCAATGGCCGTAGCTTCTTCGAATTTCTAAAAGTGTATGAAATGTGTCCTGAAATTAAAAATCCTATTCGAATCGATACAATATTTGTTGATACGTTAATTCCTTTACGTAGTGCTATAGTCGGAGAAAAACTTTAGCTGGTAGTCTTACCAGAAAATTAATTCACGATGGTTCTATATCTGTACCTCGAATGCAAACGACTGTATATTAAACTGAAATTTGTTTAATTTAGGGTAAATATGTTGAAACGCTTGTTATACTTATTGGTGCCGTTTAAAATATTCAATTTTCGAAATTTGAACTCGGTAAGGTTTGCCAGCTGATTCTCTTTTTGGTTCCAAGTCGGCTATAGCGATCCTGTGTCCTGTTAGCTGTTACAACGTGAAGCAACTTTCTCCGCGTTGACAACTGGAAATCAGTTTATTAACGGTTGAGTCGTAACGCATAAAACGCACTTACATTTCAAGGGAGTAACACAGCGCTGACCTTGCTAACATTTGGCTGCTAGAGCTAGAGACGACGCGATCACTTTCAATCGTGTGCTCGTTGGTCGTTTCTCAACCGGTGTACATTCGAACATTAGCTCTACGTTCGTTTTGTGGAACGTAGTAAAATGATAAAAATTAAACCTTTTGACTGACAATGAATGTACAACGTACCTAAGTACGTAGACTGGTTAAAAAACGACTAACGTATGGTCGTACGGTGAAAAGTGACCACGCCGCGCCGTGTCTGACAGCGGAATGTTAGGAAGGTCAGCGCTGTCGAATACCCTCCAAGTATTTTATGACGCTACCGGTAATAAATTGATTTATAATCGTTAAGCAGGAAAGAAATTTTCTTAACGAACGCGAGTGTACATAACTTGCTTAAAACGCGTGGCATTTTCGAGATGTCATTTGCTTCTAGCGTGGAGTTCCTGCGAAGACTCGCGACTCTATCCTGCCCGGAAATGTTGATTAATCTTTTGTACGTATCGACACGAAGACAACTTGTTAACCGTAATCCATAGAAAATCACGCTCCGGAAGATTCAACGGCGAAGTTGAGTACGAGGAAGTAAGCGGGTGTCAGGGCCAGAAGGTCATCGGGATCGAGAGATATAAAGGGATCAAAGTTCGCGAATTTACAATTACTTCGATCTCAATTGTTAATGTATTAAACTGTTCGTACGTGAATAGCGAATCACCTTAACCACTTAAGGACCACGCCCGAGTATATTCGGGCGGTTATTATGTGCGGAAATTACCACACCAGAGATGGCTAATTAAATAGTTCATTTTCATGTAATTGTATATTTTAGATCCCTTAATATTTGTATTCTACATTTTAGCTGTAGTCTATAGTTTATACTCTGTATAAAATATATATATGCTGTATTTTATATTTTAACGTTTACTCTATATTCCGCGAACAAGCTTTACGTGCAGAAAAAACTCCTGAATATACTCGGGTGAAAATAAATGCGATTTCTGGTATGTAGAAGCGCAGATTACAGATGGGCAAACCTGTGTACATTTTTGTATAGTGTACGTGAGTTGTTTTAATTTTATTTTCACATATTTCTGTTAGGATTAACGTTACCAAAATTAATCAGTAGATATCAACTTCCAGTCCCATTTTGGGCCCGAAATGGCTTTTATGAGGGATATATATGTTTAGTAAATAAAATTCGTTCATAAAACAAAATGTGTTATTTTTTCCATTTTTTAATTTTTTAATGATTACTGAAGGGGTTAAAGGATGCCGAAATGTTAAGGGAGAGGGGACAAGAAATGCCATTAAACGATCTGCTTATTAAAATAATGTTCCATCTTTTTCTTACAATTGTCACTGTTTACAAAGCCTTCAATTATTAATTCTTCATTTTTTATCCTGTTTTTACCTCATCATAAGAAGACCTTCAATTTTGAAATTTATTGTCAAGTTTACGTAACGCTTTGTACTGTAAATAATTCCTTGTTTGCTCACTCGCTTCGAGAAAGTATTCTGTTACAATTCTCTTACAATTACTTGGGAAGATGTCTAATTGTAAGAATACACGTGTAGTACAGATTTGATCGAACTATGTTGAGCTGTTTTCGAATTACGGCGAGAAAGAAACATTTTTACTACTCGTACCTTTGCTTTTGATTTCATTAAACTCGCTCAAAAATATCGAATAGCCAGAGAGAAAAAGGAGTTATAGATTCATCGATACAATAAAATAAAATAATAAAACAATAAAATGATTAGAGCACGTGTTAATATTTCAAGTTTATCATTTTTATGAATAGTTATTTAATGCAATAAAAATTTAATGCAATTAAAAAAGTTTGATGGATGCAAAAGAGTCCTGAATAGTTATGAAAATATATATTACTCTGTTAAATCAAATTTCTTCTAACGATAAGTCAATCAAGAATGACAAATTATTTATATCACGTAGCAACTCTAATAATGAAGTCATTGATATAAAATTTCTAATAATTAACTAAACATTTTTTTAACACATGTACAATAATAATTTAAGATTTATGAAAATCAGACAATTCAACTCAAATATTATGAAAGTGAAGATCTTTTTTCTTTTTGACGTGATTATATTATCCAGCAGTGTTTCCAGCGACTAGCACTCGATTTTCAATAGAAGTGCAATACAATATTATAGTTCGCGAATGGTTTTAAAAAGATCATGCACGTGTGATAAATTGAACGAGCCAGAGAGAAAAAGGAGTTATAGATTCATCGATACGTATACAGTGACTTCCAGAAATATTCGGACACCAGTGCATGGTTAGCTTTATGGCTTAATATCGTAGTTATTAAAAAAGCAATCGTCTTCGTTACTTTTTCCAATAATGAATCATTTATTAACATTATTAAAGATATATACATTAATCAAAAAATTTACATAAATTACATAATAACAATAAACAAACGAAAGAATACCGCATTTTCGGGTCAGAAAAATATTCGGACACTATGAGGAATAACATTTATTAATTGAAATTAAACATTATATGTTCCACATTAATATTTTGTTGCAAATCCCTTTTCTTTTATAATATGTCTCAATCGATTCGGCATATTAGAAACTATTTTTTTTAAATATTCTGTCAAAATGCATGCCCATTCTTCTTGAAGCCTAATTTTAAGTTCTTCTTTGGAACGAATGAGTGTCTTGCGAATCTGTTGGTTCAACTTATCCCATAAGTTTTCTATAGGGTTAAGGTCTGGTGATTGTGGAGGTGGATGAAAGACTTTGGAGCAATTATACAATAAAAATTCTTAGACAATGCGCGACTTATGTTTAAAATCATTATCCTGGTAAAATTTAAAATCTTCAGCAATCCCCATTTTTTCAGCACTTTGTTTTAAATTGCTTTTTAAAAGATTCAAATAAGCATCCTTAACCATGATGCCATCGATAAAAACTAAATTACCAACGCCGGAAGTCAAAATGCATTCCCACGCCATTATAATGCCTCCTCCATGTTTTATCGTACCCGAAAATGAGATATACGCATTTACTGCTATTATGTAATTTATGTAAATTTTTCGATTAATGTATACATCTTTAATAACATTAATTAATGACTTATTATTGAAAAAAGTAACAAAGACAATTGCTTTTTTAATAACTACGATATTAAGTCATAAAGCTAATCATACACTAGTGTCCGAATATTTCTGGGAGTCACTGTAGATATTCCAGCATTGTATGCGTGTAAACGTAAATATGTAAACGTAAACGCCGCGGCCGCGGTCGTGGCGTTCCTAAAGACTGTTGTGGTCGTGAGAGTGAGACCGATAGATACACGCGCCTCTGTCGTTCGATGGTGTTCGTATACTCGCGTCGCGAGGTCGGCCGAAACCACGACAACTGCCTCCACGTGCTGCGAAAAGCACTTATTGTTAGTCGCCCTAAATTGTAGGTCGCCGTCGGTGTCGCTATGGTGGGGATAGTCAGAGTGGCGGGGCAGGGTCGAGCGCAGCGCTTCGGTCGTGATCGATGATTTCCGTCGTTGTTCGGCACTGCCAGGCGGTAAACATTGCACAGTACCATTGGCCGTATCCTGAGGCGGGTCCTTTAGTTTTCGAGTTTGAGTTTTTCCTCGGTCAGTTTATCGTATTCAGCTCTGAGAAGTGAGAAAGATACGCGGCACGCGTTAAGGGGAGACGCGTTTCGTTTCGTTTGTTCTTTCGATATCTAATGTTACTTTGTTAGTTTGTGACTATTCAAAGGATGGTGATACGCAACGTGGGGTACAGCGACTGTGGAATGGTCTAACAGGAATTGCACAGGTGGGTGATGTTTGACGTTTATACGTGTCTCGTGGACAACATTTTCGATGTAGTCGATTTTGAAAGACTTCATTAGCAATCGATACGTAAACTGATACATTACTTTTCTTCTTTCTACCATTTTATTCGTTGGAAAGTTCGATGCATTCGAACATTGGCAAAAAACAGACGAAATCCTAACAATCTTTTTACAAAAACGATCAAAACTCTCAGAATCTCTCCATTTCCATGAAACGATTAATTTTCGATCGGACGACGAGAAATTCGAAATGTTTAAAAAATCAGATGGTAATATCGAAAAATGTGAAATATCGAGAAAAATAGTAGAAAAATCCACGTTACGACGTATACCGTACTCGATGTTCGCCTTGGCCGCGAACTTGGGCCGCGCACGCGGCGTCGTTTTCGCGATCGATTGCATTTTCCTATCCCCGAAGCATTGTCGAGTCGAGAGAAAAGTGAAAAGAGAAAAGAAAAAAGAAAAAGAAGCGTGTCTATAGAAGAAAGGAGAAAGATCTCGATAGATTCTTTCGGAAGAAACAAATCGTGTCGCGGTCCGTGATGTAACTCAACGTCCTTACTGCGCGGCGAGTTGCACGAGGTCGGTGATCGCTATAAAAAAATGCGGCGAGTACACGTGGAGGCAGCGGCAGGCGGTTTCTACTGCCACGCGGCGTGGCGCGGCATTGCACCACCGCCGACCACGACGACTACCTCCCGGAGAGAGACCCGCGCGTGCAGGTTTAACCCAGCCTTAACCTATTCTGAACCGACGACCTCGTAGAAACATGCGAACAACGTCGGGCTTCGATAAGCTTGCAACCGAAGTAGAATAAAGTAGACTTCTTTCCTATGTCCCTAGACATTTTTTCTACTTTCTTTCTTCATTTAAAAACGTCCGCGTTAAAAGCCATCTAAATATGAATTCGATCGAATAGGCCATTTTCACAGGTCAAGATATATTCCGTGCGATCTTTCGTCACACTTTATTTTCATATTTCCAACGCGATACTATAAAAAAAAAACACAGATTCGTGACGAATCCATTAACGAGATTAATTTGTAAGATAGCATTACGTGTCGTATCTTAACAAATTAATCGTCCAACATATCGCGGTTGTGTAAATAATTCCTGCGGTTGTAAAACGAGCATTTATTTCCGTAAATAAAGTAATTTCTCGAAACGTTTCGTTCCGCGATCGTAACACGCCAATAATTCGATACTCGTGTACCTGTTTCAAAGAATTGCTGATTTCAAATTTGACAAGTGTATACATAACAAGATTTTCTATTCGAGTTTACAACGTACAATGAAAATTATTTTTAAACGGCCGCTGTTCAAATCGGGATTTGTTCGGTTATTGGTAGGTGACAAATACCGTTCGAATTGTTTCGTATAAATTTCACAAACATTCTTAAACGCAAGTATTACTGATTCCTTTCATTTATTCTTTAACTATCATTTAACTGTTTGCGGCACAGGAATTCGGGGTATAAAATAGACCCATGTTGCACAGGAATTTTATTGCGTTTTAAATCAAACAAAATTGTTATATTTTTATTAATAAAGGTATCACACCTATACACATGCAGCTATTGCAAAATTTCGAGGTGGGATTAAAAATGTCCCACCATGCATTACGGTCCATCAAAAAGGTGGGACACTTTTAATCCCACCGTGCCCCAAAGAGTTAAAATAATTTCTACCCAACAGAAAAAATTGTTCGTAATAGAAGCAGCGTTTATTCGTCAATTACGGGCAATTAAACGTTCATTGCTCGAAATTGTCGAAAAAAATTGTAAGTTTGGCAGGTTCATGAGTCGATACACGTTATACGGTGTACCATAGGCCCTGTAGGATCAAAGTCAGAGACAGACGGAGCTTGCAGGTTGCGTGTGGGTACCTAGATGCGCGTGCGTGTACGCACGGGGCGACGCGCGATTCGTGGTCGGTTTTTTTTTGGTGTTTTTTTGTGGACTCGAAGGGAGCGAGTGGAGGGGGCGAGGTAGGGGTGTAGTGGACCGTGTTACCCCAACGATTCTGACCGACGCGAGGCGAGGCGAGGCGGCACGTAATCAAGGCGTTTACACACAGTTGCGTTCACACATAAGAAAGCGCTCCTAGTATCCTCTTCCTATCTACCTCATGTTGATCTACCTCATCGAGTCTTCCGATGCTTAAATATATACATTGTTGATATTGTTATCGCACAGGTAAATCATTCGATCTTATTTAGAAGTTGATACTTTTAATTACGAGTAATTGTTTGTTCATTTCGTGCTTTTTACAAGCATTCGTTCAATATTATCGTAATACCCGATCTGTTATGTCATTTTAATTACACGAACTTTTTTTACATGGTTATCAAGAACAACTGTTTATTTGATAATTGTTGACGGCTTCTAAAAGAATTGATTACGTGAAAAGATATTCAGATTTTGATATCCACAGAAGTGATTTGTTCTACGAAATTCTATTAACGCATCACTCTTAGTTTCGAGTTATTTTAATCAAATGCCTAATTTAAAAACGCGAAACTCGTTTTGTAATAAGATTTCTTAACGAGTGAATCGTAATGAATTCAAAACTAGAATGCACAATGTTCAAAATACGATCGAACAATTGGGATTAGAACATGTAATTTTAAATGTGTTCAAGTTTTCAATTTGTATTCGATATAGAAATCGCAAATAAAACTTGAATCGATTAATTCTTTTAACGATAGCTATACTTCTCCAAATATTTAACGAAATGAATAATTAATCGAAAAACTAATTCCTGTAATTTTTGTTTTAGATTGATACGTAGACGTTCGTAACGAAATATGGTGGGTTACTATCAAATGGAACCGATTCCAAATACGACGATGTCGATCAGTAGCGAAATGACGGCCGTAGAGCCAATAAACCCGGTGAAAAGTCTGGTGTGTAGTCCAGATTTAACTGTGTTCTCGGCGCCAACGTGCGGTGCCGAAACTCTATCGGCAAGTATCGAAGAAAAGACCTACCGATGCCTGCTGTGTCAAAAAAGCTTCGATCAGAAAAGTCTGTATCAGAGCCATTTGCGCTCGCACGGTAAGGAAGGCGAAGATCCTTACCGATGCAACATTTGCGGGAAAACTTTCGCGGTACCTGCGCGATTAACGAGACATTATCGTACGCACACGGGCGAGAAACCGTACCAATGCGAATATTGCAGCAAGTCGTTTTCCGTGAAGGAGAACTTGAGCGTGCATCGTCGGATTCACACCAAGGAACGACCCTACAAATGCGACGTGTGCGAACGTGCTTTCGAGCATAGCGGTAAACTACATCGGCATATGCGAATTCATACCGGCGAACGGCCACACAAATGCACCGTTTGTTCAAAAACGTTCATACAGAGCGGTCAGCTGGTAATTCATATGCGCACCCACACCGGAGAAAAACCATACGTCTGCAAAGCCTGCGGCAAGGGATTCACTTGTTCGAAGCAACTGAAGGTGCATACGCGCACGCATACCGGTGAAAAACCATACACCTGCGACATCTGCGGCAAATCGTTCGGTTACAACCACGTGCTGAAGTTACATCAGGTTATTTGATGTTTATTTTTCTTTAAATATTACGTGGACTGGAAAGTAATGTCGTTTTTGCCATCTTAAATACTTGTTTATCATTTATCAGCTCATTGATTTTTCTGGCATTGAAAATTTGCACATTAGATAACAAAAGGCTGCTGACAATGAGGACGATTATATAATGAATTAAAGATAGAAATTCATTGGAAAGTTTGAATTTAATGTAAAAGAAGCGACATTACTTTTCGGTCTACCTAATATCTTCCGATTGCCGACGGTTACATTTCTATCGTATTGGGTTGTCTGGAAAGTCCATGCCGATTTTTGATAGGTAGTGCAGGTCTGAATATGTCGAAATGGCTGAAAACAAATAACATATACGTATGTATATGTACATCCCTTAAAAGGTGGAAAGTTTGTGGAACCAAATGGTACCTATGTAATACAATAAATATATGTTACAATTCAAATGTGCCTTTGAAGTTTTCTTAAAAATTGGCACGAACTTTCTGGACAACCTAATAGCTCTTGAATACACAAACAAGCATTCATTCAGACGTGGGTAATATTTGTAGAATAAATATTTTAAATACTATTTCAAATAATAGATTCTTCATAATTCAAATAAAATATTTTATTTTGGTAATCTATAGTTAAAGCATGAAAATAAATATTTTATTTTGATAATATAACAAATCAAATAAAATATGTTTCATTTTAATAACGTAAAGCATAAAATAGAATACTTTCCATATTTCTTAATTTGAAAATAAACTGTGTATGTATCATACACAGATGGAGAAACTATTTCTTGCAAATATTATGATTTCTTGCGATTGAAGAATATCTCTTTCCATCATTCATTTTATGAAGATTCTTATTGAAGATTCTTAATAGGAATATTCATTGAAGAACTACATTGAATGTATGTTTATAATGCAGAGGAAAAGTACTTCGTTCGTTTTAGATTACCAAAATAAATATATTTTTTATCCAACTTCGAAAAAGGAGGAGTTACTCAATTCGATATACATATATATATTTTTTTACACTATAATTTAGTAAAATAAAATATTCCGAACTATGGTACAAATATTTTCAGTGTTTTTCAAGTAAAATATTATTTGAAATATTATCTTAGAAATTTCTTATGGCAAATAAAATATTTTATTTCAAAAAATACTTGCATGATACGAAATAAAATATTTATTTACTATTTACTATTTAAAATACGTATTTTACCCAGCTCTGCATTCATTTGTTTTATTTGTATATTCACTTGTATATTTACATTGCGTGGCGCATCGATAATCCAATATCACGTTGTATGCTTATACAATCGCGTGTCCATGGTAAGCTCGTAGAAGTTTCGATTACGGCGAATTTACCATGCCATCTAGATCTAGCGGAGCTGTAACGAGGGTATTCTCACACGCACGGGACTAACGTATCCGCCACGTTATATGTATACATACAGCGTGTCTACGTATAAGTTCGGATATACGCAGGGTGTCAATTCTACAACAAATTTCCAACAAAAACTTACTCTTAGGCATTTTCTTTGTGTCGCCTTATTCTCAAATATTTTGACTTTTAATTTTTCTTCTACGTTTTCGACTTGACGCTCTTTAAACTGCCATAATTCCACCAAATTACAGTGCAAACTTAAAACTAAGTATACCATTCGAAAGAGCGTTAAATTTCCCAACTCCTTGATGCAAAACCGAACATTTATTACGTAGATTTAACGAGTGAAAAATTAGGTCAAATTTTACATTGTGAAAATTTCAAAAAATTTGACCTTTTCTCTATCCGTTTTTCGGTTTCAAAGACATAGTTGTTTGGCGGGCACTCTTTGGGAAAAAACTTCCACGAAGTCTCAGCTTTTGAACCGTATTGTCAAAAAAAAAA